TTTTGACTTTTAATAATAAAATTATTTTAAATATATATATTCTAATCCAAAAATTCAATCATGTTATATATATATATATATATATATATATATTAAACGTTACAATAAATTAATGAAATAAATCAATAAAAAATATGATTATTTCCAGCTACTGAATAAGATGGGTATGGAGAACTACGAGTCTAATTTGAAGAGGAGGGGCTGCTCGTGCACAAAAGACGATTTTCTCCCTGAGGAGTCATTCAAAAGCTGGGGCAATTACGTAAATGCGCTGAGGCAGACCCCGGCTCGGTTGGCTGACCGGGTCCTGTCCCGGTCGACAGTGGAGGCTGAGCTGGAGATGAAAGACCGCAGCCAGAACCAGATGAAGAAGACCCTGACTTGGTGGGACCTCATATGGTTCGGCATGGGCTCGGTTATTGGCGCCGGGATATTTGTGCTGACGGGCCTCGAGGCCCGTCAGGATGCGGGCCCTGCTGTGGTGCTGTCGTATGCCATCTCGGGCCTCTCGGCATTGCTCTCCGTCTTTTGCTACACCGAGTTTGCCGTCGAAATCCCTGTTTCAGGTACAACCCCATCTTAATTTTTTTTTCTATCTTTTCTAAATATATTTGTCCATGTCATATTAGTTGATCAACTTAATTTGAAGTTAGTTTTGATTCAAGCAATAAACTATGTTTATTTTGACATGATTTTAACATTTTTTAATTGTTATAATAACTTGATTTTATCTTGTCTCCTCGTTTCATAAACAAGTTTGAGTTAGTAAATTTTAATTATAATTTCATCAACCTCTTGAGTATTCACGAGCCGAACTAAGCTGTATTAACTAACAACTCGGTTTGAATAAAAACTAAACAGGCGGTTCGTTCGCGTACCTCCGAGTCGAGCTCGGTGACTTCATGGCCTTTATCGCCGCCGGCAACATCCTCCTCGAGTACATGGTTGGCAACGCTGCCGTCGCCCGCTCGTGGACGTCCTACCTCGCCGCCCTCTTCAACCAAAAACCCGAGACCTTCCGCATCCACGCCGCCGCCCTCCCCCACGACCTCGACCAGCTCGACCCAATCGCCGTCGCTGTGATCGCCGTCATATGCTTCCTCGCCGTCCGTAGCACCAAAGGCTCGTCCCGCCTCAACTACGTCGCCTCCGTCGTCCACGTCATCGTCATCGCCTTCATCATAATCGCCGGCCTCACCAAAGCCAACCCCGCCAACTTCTCCCCCTTCGCCCCCTTCGGCGTGCGCGGCATCTTCAAGGCCTCGTCGGTTTTGTTCTTCGCGTACATCGGTTTCGACGCCGTCTCGACTCTGGCCGAGGAGACGAAGAACCCGGCACGCGACATCCCGATCGGGCTCGTCGGTTCCATGGTGATGACGACGGTTATATACTGCGTGCTGGCGGCGACGCTCTGCCTGATGCAGCCGTACGGCGCAATCGACCCTGACGCGCCCTTCTCGGTTGCGTTCAAGTCCGTCGGTTGGAGTTGGGCCCAATACCTCGTCGCCCTCGGGGCCCTCAAGGGGATGACGTCGGTCCTCCTCGTCGGGTCCGTGGGCCAGGCCCGGTACCTCACGCACATCGCCCGGGCCCACGCGATGCCCCCTTGGTTCGCGCGGGTCCACCCGAAGACGGGGACGCCCATGAACGCGACTATCGTGCTACTAAGCTTCACGGCGGCGATCGCGTTCTTCACGAGCCTCAACATTCTGACGAACCTTTTATCGATCTCGACGCTCTTCGTGTTCACGCTCGTGGCCGTGGCACTCATCGTTCGGAGGTACTATGTGGCGGGGGAGACTTCGGTGGGGGACCGGAATAAGCTTGCGGCGTGCCTCGCCGTGATTTTGGGGTCGTCGGTGGCGACGGCGATCTACTGGGCGACGGCGGGGAGCGGAAAATGGGTCGGGTACTGCGTGACGGTGCCGGCGTGGGGTTTGGCGACGGCGGGGTTGTGGGCGTGGGTCCCGCAGGCGAGGAGGCCCGAGAAGTGGGGGGTGCCGATGGTGCCGTGGCTACCGTCGGCTTCGATAGCAGTGAACGTGTTTTTGCTCGGGTCGATTGACGGAGAGTCGTTTGTGAGGTTCGGGGTGTGGACGGTGTTGTTGTTGGTGTACTATTTGTTGTTCGGGTTGCACGCGTCGTACGGTGCGGCTAAGTCGGGCGAGTCTGGATCGGAGTTGAGGAGGGTTGAGGAAGGGACGGCGGGGGTGGTGGTGAGTGGTGGAGGGGCCAACGCCGTACCATCGGCGCCTCCTCTATAAGAAGGTGGGTACATATTTGATTGTTTTAGTTGGAAGGTGACAAAACGGTCTTAATAATTTAGAGGAGATTTGATTGTTTTTTTTTGTAGTCAAGAACTATGATTAGTTTTTGTTTTTGTTAATATGTTTTGTTTTAGTTGTCTATGCTATTTCAGAATTTGGATTTTCATTTTGCATGTAGCCGAGGCTATTTTGTGTCTACTTCACAAAAAATCGATCTCCTTTGAATAAAGGAAGGATTGTCGAAGAACAGTAACATAATATATTCACTAATTAGAGAGTTGAAAACTGAAGCAAAGCACAAACATGTTTTTCTGTACATGAAATTCAAGGTGCTGAATTACAAAATTCTTAAACCAGCACGAACTCTTCATTATAAAACAAAAAAAATAGCCCACCATTGAAAAATAAACCACGCATTGGGAATCTGCTGATTACAGCCACAACCAAATGACCAGGAATAAAAACCTTCCAAGTTCCAACCTTTGAACCTCTCCACTCAATATATAAAAATGAGGGGCAAATGGTATTTCTTTAATAAAAACATAAATTAACCNACACTAACAGAGAGTATTTTTACATCCACATTGCAAGGCCTTTTAATTTTTATGCCTCTATCTTGAGAAGAGTATTCAAAGATGTGCTGTTGAATCTCTGGGCAAGACCTCTAATCACAAGAACAATGACATCACGAAGGTGTCGAGTCTGCACCATCAAATCAACTTCATTCTCACTGTCCACAACGATTCTAAGACGATGTTGGTCGTTTCTGAATAGCTCAACCTAAACGAGATAAAGATAAATACAGGTGATATATTACACGGCATTGGTAGAAACTTGTTCGAAATAGAGAGAGTTAGTGAAAAAATAATAAATAAATTAAAAAACATACATGGAAAGGAGGAGCATAACTTCCGCGAATTTCAGTTGTTGGGAATGAAGTTTTGGAGCCAGGTTTTACAACCTTGACCCGTTTTCTGTTCACTTCCAAGATTCTTCTCTCGAGACTTCCCATTCCAGGTACCTGCAAATGAAGCGAAATCAAAGCAGTTATTGGAGGACTGATTGCGTTTATATATTTCTTGATGCCAATGAAACTTAGTAAGAACATTGGAAAATATGTCAAAGTACCCTTTTAGGAGATCGATCCTTGTCACACAGAACCTGTAACAGAACCAATAATAGTATATTTAAGTTTTTTAAGTATTAGGCACTCAACAGTTAAAATTAGAAGAAATGACGGCAGGTAAAATTAGAAGAAATACCTCAAATTTCACGGATCCAAGATCTAACTTCTGCTTCACTTCCTTAAGAACATCGGGCTCTGTAATCAAATTTAACATATATTAAGTATTGTAACATTACTAAAGATAAAGAAAAAAATAGAATGGGCATATTTGGCAAATTTTATTAGGTATTCAGTTGATTCCTTCAGGATGTCCACACCAAAAAAAAAAAATAATGAATTTACCAACTGAAATAGGATCCGTAGATGCAGAAACGGGCTGTCCCTCGACTCCATCATCTCTTACAGGAGTATAAATAGCAACAAGCCTGTAGCCTACATCATCAACATTAGCCTCGTACATTCTTCCAGTCTCTCCTGCTCATACAAACCAATATTTGAAGTGTACACATCAGGTACAGTAGAAACTTCAAGTTTAAGAATAAAATAAAATCAAGAATTTGGAACTGATATATGCATCTCCCGTGTTAAACATGTTTTCACTGGCAATAATTCGAAGTAATAGATATTATCATTTCACTAAGGGTTAATCACATAAAATAAATAAATCCCTTTGATAATTGGGATTCAAAAACAATTGATTTTTCCATAACTACTATAAAATCAAGGGGTAGTTTTACTAATTTGCTGGTATCTAAATTGCACCAGGATTTTACAATAACATCCTATACCAGTTTTTTCAAAAAATAAAAAATAAAAACATCCTATACCAGGGATAGAGATGAGGTCAGGACTTCCAACCATAGATCTGAGCCACTGAATCCGGCTTTTTCCTTCCTTCCCACCACTATAATTGCCACGCACGGCATATAAGTTTGTGTGGAAACCTCGACCCTCGATTTCCAGCTTGTCCATTCTCGGAACTCCTGAATACAACACACACAACACTTTACGGAGCAGTGATGTACGCCTAACATTTGATCACTTTAAAAGGTAACGTTATAGAACATAAGTAGCTGGGATCCATGTAGCATGAAGTACAAGGATCAAAGTAATTTATATGACTTTGGAAAAAAAATGAAAGTAAAATTTTCGAACACTTGAAAATTTTGCAAGTACCCCTTGAGGTTTGTATTTTTCTTTCTTTTTTCTTTTTTATAAGTTACCCTCTCAACAAGGAGAACTTTGCAAAATTAAAATCTATGTGTATTGAGAATTCTTTTATAAATTACCCTTTGCATGAGCACAGGATTTGTAATGTCCATTAATTGCAAAAATAAAATCCTATGCACTCCAATAGTAAACACCTGGTAAAACTGCAGCAGTTTCAGCATACGCCAGCTCACTTGGTCTTCCAAACACATCAGTGACTATGCATTCACACTTGAGGCAGCAACCAATGTCCTCAAATCGCACTTTATACGAGCAGGACCTCTGTGATGGGAATGGTCCAAATGACTTTTCTGGCCCAGTTTCAGATGACAAAAACCTAAAAAAAAGGGCATTATATATGACGCAGCACTAACAGGAAAACACATCAACCAGAAAAATGGAAATGACTGGACAACAAACTGGGAGAAAAAATAAAGAAAGAAAGAAAGAAAAAAAAGAAAGAAGAAAAAAACAAAGAAAGCAATAAACAACAAGCCTTTATGCCACTAAGTAGGTTGTATCATCTCCCACCATCCATTCCTGTTTTGCCATATTTTCATTTATTTGTACAATAAGCATGTACCTCTTTATTGTTTCATTCAGATTCTTCGTAAGTGAACAGGTGACAAACTTGTCACAATTATTCAAGAGCGGTAGATTTGAATTATGGATAATAAGAGATACCATTGATAGCTCACTTCTTTCTTGTACTTCCCCCAAACAAGCTGCTGATTTTCACTCTTTGGGATAACTTCTACAGCAGTCAATACTTCGCCTTCAACAGCTTTCCCAGTAAGAGCTAGCATTTCAATTCTTGGTACCTCTGATACAAGAAGCACTAATATGAGGAGTGAACAGGGCACTAAAATAGTTGAAGGCTGCTATGGAGCAGCAAGTTTAGAAGGATGACCTGGCAAAACTACATCACTTGGCTCAGATAATACAAGTTCTCCAATGACTGAATCTGAACGAACGGGTGTAAATCTGCAAGATAGATGAAACACTTAAATGTATAAACCCAGCATCCAAACTAGAGCTGGTTCATTAATAAGCCCATTATATGAATATGATTGAGGATTAGATAGAATCTCACGTGAGGTCCACCAACCTTGTTTTTCAATTTAAGTACTCCAAAATTAGTTATAAACAGAAGTTTTCTAGCCAACACTGTATCCAAAAGACAGATTTATTTATTTACTTCTTTTTTTTTTGNNTATGGGGCTTCAAGATGTCAAACTTTTAAATACGAAGCCCTAAGATTGACTTTTCTTCCACAAAACACTTATGCTAAAACTTCTCATTTTGTTGAACTGTCATTTGTTACAATACGAAAACAACTTGAACAATGAACCAAATAAATGATATTTAGAACACATTCCACAAAAATAACTTCCGAGCAAAATAGAAGGGAAAACAAAGACGAGGCATGAATTTGAGACAATTATTTTCACCGTTAATGACGTGTATTTTCATGTCACAATATATATTTTCACCGTTAATAAGCAGGTTTCATAGGTTATTATGATTAAATATTTTAGAGTTCGATTCATTACCCAAACAACAATCTGCAATTATAATCTTCCTCTGAGACTTCATAAGTTTTGGAATTAGCTCCACCGATAAGAACTGTTCCATCATCGGATTCTCTATACCAGCTAAAAGAGCTTGCTCCTTCATACCCACCAAAATATTCTCCTTCTCCAAGGTAGGTGGTTGAAGATAACTTTTGCACACGAACATTTTTCACTATTGGAAGGGCTGATCCATACAATTATTTCAACTGATTAATAATTAATAAAGCATCATGTATTCTAAATATTGAGCCAACATATATGGGTGACCGAAAGAAGGTAAGTTAGAAAACAGATAATAACAGGAGAAAGGGGTCAAGAAATAATAGTAATCACTACAGAATGTTACAACGTCCATTAATGTCCAGTATAGTGGAGGCAAAGAAGAGCCATGAGGGGGAAAAGCTCTTACAAGAAGCACTCATTACATTTATTAGCCAGGAACACCTTTTATATAATATACTCAGGAGAATACGATTTTTTACCTGGAATAACTGGAGAGTTACAAGTTGATACCAAAGGTTTGCCACATTCGCCATCCGACCGTGTTGGCAGCCAATACAATACTAGATAAGATCCCACATCCTCAAGAGATGGAGTGTACGATCTGAGCAGAAGTAATTGCTCAAATAAGAGAATTTCCTTGATCTTGGAAGTTCGGGACATCAAATTTCAGAAAATACTTACAATGTCTGCCCGCATATGTCGACATTTTCGATATTCGGCAGTTCCTTCAGGGAAGATTCATCGAGCTTATCCTTTGTTCTAAACCAGATGAACTTCCCGATTCCTTCTTGTCCTCCGAAATATCTTCTTTCAGGAACCACTTCCTTGCCCTCACAGCAATCGGGAATTACCAATTCAACTCCTAAAGGTTCCCCTGTATTTAAGTGTTATATTATTAGACCTGGGACCATAACATTCTGAAAGTAGAGCACAACACAAGTGATAAGAATTAGAAATCTTAATGGGCACAACAATAGTATTGAAAGAACAATATCAAAAAACAGGTTAATGAGAACTCAGAACTCATATGCCTGCATTCATTTGATTTGAAATAGTCAAATTGAAGAATGTGTAACCATATTACCATAAGGAAGGAGCAAGCTCAAATAAATTTGATGAAAAGGCTAAACAGTCCAGAATTATCAAGATGAAAATCATTAAGCTCCTTAGATTTCAAAGGATGGAATATAAAAGAAAATAAACGTTAAGAAATAATATAGGACATTTCCACCCCAGAACTTGGCATCAAAGTAAACTGAAAACCACTCACCAGGAGCAATGGGACAAGAAACAATTGTTTTAGGGGATCCCTTTAAGCCATCATCACGGACAGGTGTGTAAACAATTTCCACGCGGTCTCCCACTTCATCAAGTGTCAAATCTAGAAATTCTACACCCAACATTTATTTATCAGATTATTGAAACAAAGAACATATGTTACAAATAAAATGAAATAAACAGAATGGACAGAACTATATTTACCTCCTACATGAAGTTTCTCTTTATGACCATCTCCCTTCACTCTGAACCACTCACATGAGCAGTCCCCCTTCACACTGAACAAATAGAAAAATAAAAATAAAACTTCATTGTGATGGATGCAAAGGGAACACCATTGGTAAGAAGTAATAGTAACGGCAAAGGCTTACCCTCCACTATAAGAAGCAATGAAGCTGAGTTGTGAGCCTTCAACCAGGGATCCTTGGAATTCAAGCAACTGGCATGTTGGGGGCCCTGGAAAGAGTATGCTTGCTCAGTCATTTATCTATCAAACCATGTAAATGTGTTTCGAGAAAATGATTCTTCAGGGGGTCACACGGAAAAATGAAAACGTATGTGGTTTTGTATTGGAAAGCAACTGATCCGATGTATATCTGAGAAGAAAAGTGTTTTTTTTTTCATTTCAATGTGATACTTAGGTTTGTCTATTCAGGTGCCCATCAAGAATTTATCATGTTATTGATTATAGAATTTACCTGCCACAATAGGTCCAGCTTGTTCAGAAAGGACAATAGGGCCTCTAGCCCAGTCACTCCGTATTGGCTCACATGAAACTGATATGAAGAAGCCTATATCATCAACAGATAGCGTATATGATGAAGAAGTTGCACCTTTTATTTCGTTGTGAGCACCACTTGAACTAGTCTGCAACAAACAGTTCTTTCTTTCAGCCTCAATGGAAAATCTCGGTTATTTTTACCGTATTATTAACTATGAAACATAATATTCATCAAATACCCGGAACCAGCGGTAAACCGACTCTCCCTCTTCACCACCCCAATATTTCTTTTCAACATTTAGGGTAGTGCCTTCAACAGCAGTGCCAATAAGATGTAAAGAGAGCAATCTCGGGCTTCCTAATGTTATAGAACATGAAGGAGAAATATAATCAACACTAAAGAAAAATTAAATAGGGGATCACGCAATACTTCAATTTTTTTGTTTTAAATCATGGAAAAACAAGAGCAAACTTGCTCTCTCTAGCACCTGGACGGACACGTTCTTGTCCAACACAAGTTCTGGGTTCACCCACTATACCATCATCCCTCACAGGGGTACATGTAAAAGATATAAATCTACCAATTGCATCTTTTGGGATCCGATATTGAAGACCTGAAACATCTGGTATCGGAGTACCTGAGTCGGTTTCAACCTGCTGGAAGTTGTAATGTCAAAGTTAGCAAAACAAAGCGATTCAGAAAATTCCAGAATCTAAAATTCGTACAGGAAGGCGCAATATACCTCATGAAAATACCACTGATAGATACTCCTTCCCTCATGACCACCAATATAACCATATGATGCTGTCAATACTCCACCTTCACAGTAGTCTCCGGTTATGGACAAAAAGTTAATACTTGGAGGAAGAGCTGCAAGAGTTATTAATGCATGTTAGTATTTGCATCCAAACATTTCTTACAATCGAATATTCAGGAGTCTAGTAGCTAAAATATATGCATGACAGTAAAGCAAGAATCAAGTTGCCAAAGATCTTAGACAACAGCAAGGGTCACTGATTGTCATTTAATAAAATTGCAATGCTTGCGCAACTCAGCACTCCTTAAATTATTATAATTAGATTCTAGCATTTGAACAGATTATACTCACTTTCAATGGCTGTTTCAGAAATTACATATGCTGGGTCACCAGCTTCACCATCCGGAGTCATTGGTGTAAATTTTGCAATTATATAATTGCCAACTGCGCCCAAAGGTATACGAAATGCCTACATAAAGCATATTGCCTAATTAAATCATGCATCAATTATACAGGTCCAATTTGGAGTTTGGAAGCATATCTTACCTTGGCGATTTTGGATGTACTTAATGATTCAATACTGTTTTCACCTTCAAAAGTAGGCGAACTGGTTTTGAACCACTGAACTCTGCTAGAAGCTTCAGTTCCTCCAGTGACAATACCAGTTACAGTAATCTTACTTCCCTCCTTCAATTCACCAAATATCTTTAAATTTGTTACCTTCGGTGGAGCTGTTGCATAAAGAAAATGAAGAAAATGGAACAAAGTCCAGTTAAATGACAACCACGACCAATAAACATAGTGAAGCCACCAAGCAATCCACAATAAGGACATAAAAGTAGGTGAAGCTTCAAAAGTGAAAGCAGCAGCCAGATCTAGCGAATGGTGCACATGTTCCATTGAACCTCACAATTGATATCTCAGTATATTATGATCACTACTTAATTAGAAGAAAAAACAACAGCATGTCCAGCCAATTTTACAAGTACATCAAGCAGCAGCAACAAGATTATCCAGTCCTAAATGCAAACTTACTCAAGACAAATTAATGACGAAACAAAAAGGTTATCAGGAGTGATTATCAAATTAAGCATAATTAGGTCCTAATGGTGTAAAATATTCTAAAATAAACTAGCACTAAGTCAGCATAGACCGGAGGATCCTTAATGCTAAGGAGAATAATATGATTGAGAGGCATTTCCTTTTCATTGTCTAAACAAATTTCTGCAAAGGCTCCTCCATTCCAATTGGAGAAATAATACAGTACATTAGTATTCACATGTACGCCCAATTATAGTGGCCATTTCATAAGCCAAATAACTTGCAGACAAAGCAATCTACTCAGAAGAAAAAGCATTTTATGTTGCCAGAAAATTTGCAGCCAATTTTCACAAAATAGTAGCAAACTAGTAAAAGAATAAGATGTTACATACCCTGCTTAACCATCTGCGACATCACTGATACAGATTTCCCTTCCTGCCCTATAGTCAAAACACAGTGAGTATTATATATTAATACAGGAAAACAAACATAAAGCAGGATTAAGGAAGAAAATTAAAATGGCTTGAATGATAAGAAAACTAACCCTCAAAGTTCACAGGTACATAAACAAATGCCAATCGTCGTCCAACATCTTCTTTAGTCAATGTATACTCATTTGTACCCGTCAACACCGAAATACATTCTCTACAAGCAGAAGATGAAGAAAGCATCTAAGTCAATTCCATCACAAAAGAGAGAGAAATTGATCACCATTGACCCGCTAGACAAATAAAAAATCCTAGGAAAATTGAATGGGTACAAATACTCATTGTGAAAATTGAATGTAAGCTCCAAACAAATTTTACTCACCCTTAGACTAGACCAACTCTGGCATTAACAAGCTAGAAGCATAAAAATGAGTGAAGACCATTGGGACAATATATCATCACACAAGCCTATTGAGCAAAATCATAATTGGAAGAAAGACAAATGGAGCGGCTTAAACCAATTGATTCACTTCATGAACATTGCGTGAAAAAAGAAATTAACACCCACCCAGTATCCTTATCCTCACGCAACCATTCAAAACTGCTGGGACCTTCTTTTCCTCCAAAATACTCCCCTATTCCTTTGACTGTACACCCTTCAATGGCATCTCCAATAATTTTCACATTACTCACAGAGGGAGAGGCTACCAACATAAGAATAGATCAGTCAAAATAATAAATGACTGCAAAATCGCAGGTACTCTGAAACAAGAAGTTTCAGAGTACATAATATAAACCCTTTATGGAGCCATATCCATGTTTGTCATGACCTTAATTGTATATATTCATGTTACAGTGGCTCTTAGTGCATATAAATTGCAATGAACTCAAAATGATCAAAAAGATAAATGACAGCCAAAAGCATATTTGATATTTTATGTAGTCAACATTTGGTATGCATTATTGTGCCATAGCTGGGAAGCAAGACAGCTAAAATCTCATGAAAAGACATGGTATGGATAGTTTCATTTCTCCTTTGTCCCATCTGATCAAGAAAGGTGTACCTAATGTTTCAACAAGCCTAATATTTGTAGATGTTACTTTCACCTAAAGTAACAGCAGAACACCCCAAACAAGCACCAATAAATAGAGATGATGCCACATTTATATATTACCCATACCTGCTTTTACATAATCAGTGATGGCACATTGAGGCTCCCCTTTGGAACCTTCTTCAGTTACAGGGGTGTACATATAAACCAAACATGAATCTATGTCATCTAATGTAAGCTGATATTCTTCTTCTTCGGCACCTGCAATTACCACAGAGCTGCTATTCCATTTTTTTCGAAGCCAGCTATAGAAAGGAACAAAAAAGATTATCAAACAGTGGCTAAGCCTTTCTTTCCCCTGGCAGAACAGAACAGCTCGGAATACAAAATGCCTTATTTAGTAAACACTGGATTCTCTCACCTAGAAACACCTTTACCCGGAGTTCCCCCACACCATGCAACACCAGCAAACCCTTTGATTGTATTTCCTTCCACCAGCTCACCAATTACATTAATCTTTATGACCTTAGGGATTCCAGTTCCTTCAGAAAGACAACCAGAAAAGTTAAAAGACATGGTACAATTCCCTATAACATGATGAATTCCTTAGGATCATACAGGTATTTATCAGACATTTTCTAAACAAACTATACCTGTAGAAACAGGTGGAGATATTGCAAAAATAGTGGGATATTCAGCATCTCCCAGAATAGGAGTACACTCCACTTTCAAGATTTTCCCAATGTCACCATGTTTGGGAAAATAGATCTGACATGTTAAACGACATGTGTTAATTTTTAAATGGCAAATAAATAAATCCAATTGCTAGAAAATTATTCACACCTCTCCACATGCGCCGGGAATCTCTGTGAAATTTGAAGCAGTTCGTGCTCCAATAAACCACTGGTATTTCAAGTCTAGTGCTGAATCACTACCTTCAGCTGCATCTCTAACAAACTCAAAGTGGCAACGGCAAGCATCTTCTTCAAACGGTCGACCTACAGAAGCTTTCTTAAGCAAGTATCCAGAAGGAAGCTGTTCTTTCCATTGTTCTAGCAAAAACTTGAATGTGGAATCTGTTAACAAGAACAAGCACGTTGATACACAAGAGGAGATCAAAAGGATGAATAATTATCATAGATGCTGCATGTCTAATTTAATATAATCACATAAATAGATAGCAATACAGTTGTGTAATTCTCAAATCAGATGGTATTGGTAATAATCTTGGATAAACCAATTTGCAGTTTCCCATATTATAATTCCCCAGTCTTCTAATTTCAGAATTCACAAAATTAAAGAAGATTTATATTTTTAAAGCTTACCAACAGCTTGTTCTGGACGGCATAAATCCCAACCACCTCGAATGCACAAGGAAGTATGTGAAGGATAACGTTTGGAAATTGATATCTCCTCACGGGATAGATCTCCAAGGACAAAAAAGAAAAGGTTAATGGTAAGGAGAAAATAATAAATATAAGCCTTAGAATAGATATGAAAAAAGTACATTTCAGATGAGCAGGTAGGCAATCAAGAATGAAAAATTTTCAACAGAAACAAGAGCAGTTGAAAGGCACACAAAGTGTTACCTCTATCATTAAATTTCTTTAAGGTTGGACCAATAAGCAAAATTGCAGCTGCTTCCACATGAGACATCTTAAGAATGGGATTCTCCTCGATACGCAAATGCTGCAGATCACCATAGTAACAAATATGCATCCCAATGCATTTAGAATCATGATAGAGTTCAATAAGTAATGAGAAATATGATTCAGCAATGCATCGATATGTCTCAAGAATTATTCATAGCGCGTTTTATACATAGAGAAAATTTTGCCACCATATGTGCTTCAAACTCTAGTTAGTTCCAACCCATCATTATCTATGGGTAATGGTCAGGCAGAATTTTCACAATGTTAAGGATTCATAAATCACCATGGTCATTCAATAATGCTAAAGTTGTAATTATGAAATCAAAATTGAGAAGATATTTGCACAACTGACCTCAAGTGCCGGTAAGTACGGGAAGCCTTTCAAGGTTGAAATTTTGTTTTTGCTCGCTGCAAGTACCTATTGGAACAAACAAGAAAAGATAACTTTTGCAAACTGAATACAGGGATATATTTGTTAAAGCAACAATAACAAACCTGTAAACGAGGCTGGCTTGCCATTGAAAGAGATTTTAACTTATTCTGCGCGACAGACAGAAACTGAAAAGGCAAATAAAAATGAAAGTGCTTTAGCATCCTGCATGGACATAATCCAAATAAAGATCGAGTGAAAGCACAGATCCAAACAATTTCAGGATATTCACCTCCAAGTTAGGAAGCTCTGGAAGGCTCTTTAAGGACGTGATCTGATTTCCAGCGAGATAAAGTTGCTACAATAAACAGAATATTGTGTTTGTAAAAACAAGTATCACATACTCTAAACAGTACCATTGAGAAATCATGATTACCTGCAGTGCTTTGCAATTCTCAAGTGGCTCAAAACCAGGTCCTTTGAAATCATTAAAGCTCAAATCAAGAACCTGAAAGCTTAGACAACTCAACTTATTCTATCAAGGATTAAGCTAATAAATAAAGATGGATGGAAATGGGCAATCTATAGACACCTTCACACGATTCAGGACTTCGATACCATCCAATGTGGACAAGAGATTGTCTCTGAGATAAACAAACTGCACAAAAAAAGAAAAGTGTCGAGCATAGATCACTTATAATTAGTTCGGTATTGAGGTATTCTCAGCAATAGGAAAACTACGCATCATGCACGAGAAGATAAAAAAATTATATATTAGGTCATAGAAGTTGCAGTGTACAGAGTACCTCCAGATTAGGTGACAAATTCAACCCACCGGCACTGAGACTGCGTATCTTGTGGCCCCGAAGATCCAATCTCTTCATCAAGGAAACAAAAGAATAATACAACATTTAACCAACTTAAAATCAACAATCAAACAAGGGATGAATGGCAACAGTCAAACTATCATTTGACCAAGGAACAACAATAGGAATAACTATGAAATCTATAGTTCATGACGTGTAAAGATTCAAGGTAACTAATGCAGATAAAATGCAATGTTCAAAAGATCAATAAAGTTTTAATATTTCCATCAGCATTTGAGTCAATTAGTATCTTCACATTTCCCAATTGGGTTATCCATATGATTCTTACCACATCATCACCAACTCTCATCTCTACTTGAGGAAGCATAATCATGCGCGAGTCCCGGCTTTCTGGAGTACCCACTCTCCTACGACCAGCCAAACTAGAAATTCTGTCCAGAGATTTCGAACTACCAGATTTAGAACCACTGGATACCAAAGGCGACCGGGTTGAGAGATGAGAAGTCTTTGAAACCGACTTGTTAATGGAACTACTACTTCCAGTGCTATCTAGTGATGGAGATGAGATCCCCTTGATTGAAGAAACTGAAGATTGAGATGATCTCACCGAAGTCCTTCTGCTCGATTCTTCCTTGTTTGAATCAGAACTAGCTGGTGTCCTTGGAGTTCTGGGAACAGGTGACATAGGAACTGACTTTCGAGTTTCTGAAATGTTCAGTTTACTAGGAGGCTTAGAGCCAGTGGATGACATCATGCCAGTCCGAAATTCTGGAAGGGATTTTCTCAGAGGTTCGGAAGCTAGGGAGCTTATCCTTTTACCTGCAGGGCCAATATCCCGCTTTGTGATCGACATTGGCTGTTTTTCAGGCAAACCACCAGTGCTGCTCCTTCTAGTCACTGGAACTGATCCTGAAGTGCGCAAGGCACTGCTCATAGTTGGTTTTGTTAATGTTGACCTTTTCTCGTTTGAATTGGAGTTTGAACCAATTTTTCGTTTAGAAGCCTCAGCTGTACCAGAGCTCTTGGGTGTTGTTACCACATTTGACTTTAGCACCTTGGGGGCTTTCTTCACACTCTCAGAACATGATTCTTCCTGGAGCTCTGATTTGGTGTCTGACTCCTCCGGCTCGGCACTCTTGTGCATTTCTACCAAATCCTCAGGCACCGAAGCCTCCATTTGGGAGATTTACCTAAGCTGCAATGACTTTAGAAAGCAGGGGAGAAATAGGAATAAAAAGAACATATCATCAGAAAACAAAGTAATACCACATATTTCAGTTTGATGCTCCTTTTGAGTTAGGAACGCAATAAAATCATAAAAGCAAACACGTTCAGCAAAATCGCCAATTATCAGAATATCATATTCACAGCTAACGCTTCTCAAGCTTCCTTAAATAGAATGTATAAAACTATTTAATGAAAACAGTAGACTTAATGAGGCAGCTAAGTTTTCCGAAATTCTTCCATATAAAAGAAACACATTCGTCATGTAAAACTAATTAGGTGCATTTGAAGTTGATTCACAGTTCTGCCGTAACTTCAATTCAACTGAATAATTATAACGTTTACAATTTTCAACCGCACAACTTCATAAATTCATGAACTCCTTCCCCAATCTATACACAACACATAAACGAAAAAACAGTAATTAAGAAACAAAATGCAGTTATCAAATGAAAAATCACTCAATAACTGTTTGCTAGAACAAAACGTCACTTTCCTTCAGTCAGTACCAAACACATAATCGAGACTCGAACCCGCATTACATCCCACCCAAATAACAATCAGTAAGAAACCAAAATCTGCCCAGCTGAAGTTATCGAGTCCACAACCACAAGCAACTATCACTCTCCAATTAAACCAAAAAAAAAAACGTCAATTCAATTCACAAAAAACCCAAAATGCACGCAGTTTCAAGCGTTTATACCTCGAATCAGTTCAGATCTGGTGGAGCACAATGAGGCCCAGCACGAAAAGCAGCTCAACTACTCCGAATAAAAGCTTTTAACCACGTTAGGGTTCTTGCTTCAAAGCTACACGTAATTTACATGGCAGCACAAGTCTCTCTCGTCCAACTTTTTCCACTTTTTTCAAAGCGTGACTGAAAAAGCAAAGTAGGAGAGAGAAACAAAGGAACCTAGAGAGAGAGAGAGTTTTGTGGAGTGGAAGAATAAAGACTACTGCAAGTACTCAGAGTATATAGAGATACAACAGTTTGTGTGTGTATATATATGAGCTGCTGGGGCCAATGCAGCGTGGATTACAGTGCATATATTTACGATTTTTTGTCTGAGATTGTAACTGCTGCGTGTTTGGGACTTTTGCTGATATTTTTAGGTTTTGATGGGGCTTTTGAGAAATATAAGTGGAATTTGGCGGAAAATCGCGTACGAAAATGACGGGTTTGAGGTATTTTGAAATCGAATTCGAAAATATATAGCTTGGGTGGGGACGTGTTAGTGACGGGTAGAAACAAAACAAGTGCATAAAACGAAAAAAATGATAATTGGATGTAGCATACAAGTAATATCTCAATCAATTCATGCTTGTAAAAAATTTAAAATAAATGTACAACAAAAATAAATAACTTATAGAGATATAAATATTTAAAATGACACACATTTTTTACTCTAAAATAGTCAAAAATAATAATTATTTTAATTTCATTTTTATTGTTATATAACTAAAAGAAATATTATTTACAACTCTTTTGATTTTTTTTTAAAATTCTTTCCACAAATGTTATATTATAATTATAAACCACATTAGTTGAATCTTGTGACTTAACTAATATTTTCTCAAGTATCATATATACATGTATTGAATAAATTAAAACATAGAAATAATTACTTGCAATTGTAATATTTGTTTATTTTAATCTAACTCTTTTTATATAATTTTAAACGAGTATAAAAAATAAATAAAGTAAAAAAATATATATAATAGAGTGATATTGATATTTTTAATATCAGAACAACTTTTAATTCAATTGCAAGTGGTTATTTTAAACAGAATTAGATTCTATAAAATTATTTGAGTATGTATTCTAAAAGTTACAGTATAAATATCAGAAATTAATTATTCTATATTTTAAAAGATCTCAACATACTTGATTACACCAACATGCTTAAAAAATATATTATTGACACATAAAATTTGTGATCTGAAAGCTCTAATTAAAGTGTTCTATAATTTAATAAGTAACATCTTCCATGGATATCCTAACTTTGTCAAGGAGTTAACTCTGTATATTTTTTTCCTCAAAACTATATACAATACAAAATAATAATAATAATAATAATAATAATAATAACAATTATGGTATATTTATCTTAATATGTTTTTTTATAAGATAATATAGTTCCTTGTACTTTTAAAATTTAGTTTGATCAATAAGTTTAAATTATATTCATAAATATAAATAAAATTAATTTTAAATTTGTATAAGTGATGATTGTCATATCAAAGATTGTGAAAAGATGATTAATCTGATAAATCATAATTGAAAAAACGAAATACTAATAATAAAGAAAAATGATTCACAGTCAACCTAGTGTACAACTAGATTGACAATACAAGTGAAAATATCCACTTGTGTATTTTTTTATTTTTATTTTTGTAGATGTTTTTTTACTTGTGTTGTCAACCTAGTTGTACACTAGGTTAGCAATGTAGCATTTCTCTATTATTATCTTCTATTCTTCTACAAGTATTGTTTAATTCTGTATTGGGAGCCCTCAAGGCCATATGTTGTAGTAATATCATTTTATTGTGAGCATCTTTTTACTGATAGGTTTATGGGAGGTTTGAAAATATAATAACCTATAACTATAAAAAGATAATAAGTATTTACTAAATATAGTATCAAAATAGTTTTAGATTTACTAAAAATGGAATGAATACAAATTGATGAAAAAAATGGTTTTATTCCTTAAATTTGAAATTAACAAATAGTTTCCTTGTGATCCACATCAATATTCAATACGTCCATACAAATGGAAAAAATGAAAATTTTATTCCTTTATATTCCGCAACAAGGACAACACTTAAAACATAATTTTAAATACAAATTAGAAAAAAGTTCTTTATATTCCTTTATTGATTTATTATACCAGTTTTCAATTTCTACGCGTGCAATAGCCATGCATGTACATGTATATCACTTAATAAATAAATATAATTAAAAACACGATTTTAATCCAAAAGATAATATATAGATTCCTTTCAATTGAAATTTGTTTACATTGGGTTGTACATATTTAAAAAATTTAATCAAATTTAACTTTGAGTAACAGAATTAAATTAACATGGTACGAGTTGTCATCAATATTCTTAATACATAAAAATACTTAAATGAATTTTATTAGATATGAACTTCATTTAATTAACACGATTTTAAAAAATTGATCTGATTCCTTTTTTTTTTTAAGANATCTACAGATTCAGTAGCTGTAAGGATAGGCTTCTTCAATTGTGATATGGAGCCGAAAACGACAAACAAAAAACGGGTATAGAAATATCAGCTTAGCTCACTGTACAACCAACAAAAAGAAAAAATTAAAAAAATAAAAATAGACGATCAACATGGTTGTACATTGTTACCAGCACCATCTTCCTGGGCTCGATAATCCTGCAGCTGCATCAAAATAAAAGTTCTACATTTTTCACCTACCTGTAAGAATTTACACTCCTCCGATTAAAATCAGTTTTCCAATGCCTTATCTTTTTCACTTGCATTCGAGCGGATCTCTTTCGAAACAGGTGGCCCTCCACTATCAATAATCTCAACACTACTCGATGCAGCCGGTTTAGGTGGACCAACAGGCTCGGGTTCACCTAACTCCACTTGTACCTCCCCATTGGACAAAGGTACAACCTCCTGAACTGCACCAGCCGTGTTAGTAGTAGTAGAATCCGAGGTAAGAGGGAACTCGATCGAATGTGAGCTTTCCCTCCACTCGACCCACTCAGGTGGCTTGTCAGAAATTGCGGGCCCGCTTGAGTCGGGTTTCTCTTCGGGATTCTCGGACGTGGCTGCTGTGTCTGCTAAATCCTCGTCTTCCCTAACAGCCACCACATCTCTATCTGCTTCTTCTTTGGCACCCTCGTGGGCCACACCAGATTCAGGGGACAAGGAAGCATTTGGATCGGACTCGGCGGGTTTCTCATCCTCGAATGCGAACCAATCGGAGTTCGTAAAAAGAGAGCCGCTGTGAACATGATGATCACAGAAGTCGAGCAATCATGATGTGTACAAACTAGTAAGGGGTGTAATTCTTTTAAAGTGAGATTTCGTATAAGGTTTTTTTTCTTTTAAATCCTAACAAATCTTAGAAGGCTAGTTTCATATAAATTAAATACCTCGGGATTTTTTGGAGGACTTTTTAAAATATCAAATGAATACCTCGACACTTTTAAAAATTTTAAAAAGACTTAAAATATCTAAATTAAATACAATTCTGAAGTCTTAAAAAGTCTTTAGAAATCTGAAACGAATATGAATAACTTTTGATAAAATATGAAAGGCAAACAATGGGTAAAAAAAAACAACACACCTCGCGAGGGTGGTATATACTAACCTTTCCGGTTCATCGCCCAGGCGAAGGGAAGAAATAACGACTTCAGCAGATTCATCATCAAAGTAAACGTCCTGGAGAAGTCATTCAAGGAACTTATCGTATGGATTTTTTTTGGCATAATCTAAGCTACATAAAATCTAAAATTTAAATATATGATGATATTATTGAACTCCGCCTATGTTGTCTCAACATAGCAGGTCCCAAGCCCTGGTAAAGGAGGAGGGTTGTGATAGGCTTGGCGAGCCAACGTAAAACCTAGCCGTTCTATGGAGATGAAACACATGTTGGGTTCTGTGGGCACACAAGAAGGGATAGAATCCGGAATGAGGATATTCGAGATAGGGTCGGGGTGGCCCCAATTGAGGAGAAATTGGTTCAACATCGCCTGAGGTGGTTCGGACATGTCCAACGGAGGCTTCCTAATGCACCGGTGCGTAGGGGAGTTCTACAGCGGGTCGAGGTCGAGCGGGTCGAGGTCGAGGATGTTAAGAGAGGTAGAGGTCGCCTAAACTCACTTGGGAAGAGTCGGTTAAGAGAGACCTTAAAGATTGGAATATCTCCAAGGATTTAGCGGTGGATAGGAGCGCTTGGAGGCTCGCTATCAACGTGCCAGAACCGTGACTTTTGCTCCTTTCTCTCTCTCTCTCTTTTTTTTGAGAGAGAGAGAGAGAGAGAGAGAGAGAGAGTTTATGTAAATGCTTATACCTCATCACCACGCTCAAGGGAACCATGGGCCTGAAGAAAAAAGTGTTGATTAAATGCAAGAGCAAACAACACTTAAACTAATACAGCATGAATGTATCTTAATCCTTTCCACTTTCTATCAACCTACCCAATCTTCCTGTAACGCAACAAATGAGATGGTAGAACCTAATAAAGAAATCGCAAAAGAACGAACCTCCTCGATATCATCATTACTGTAAATTCCATATCGGAAAGCCTGGCTCAAGTTATTTGCCAATGCTGCAACATCATAATCTCTGTCCTGGTAGTCATCTTCATCGCTATCTCGTGTCCGATCCAGTAGAGCCGTGGGCCTCCTGAAAAATAAATACGAATGTCATCTCCATTATACAAAAAAGGGAACGAAATAAGAATTTCAGGAAAACGGAATATGCACTCAGAAATACTCTAGCCATTCAAAACATATCAAAATGGAAGTAGCCATCACCCTCACT